TTCCTGCTGGTAAGGAAGGGTTAATTTTCAGTTTACTTTATTAATTTATTCTTGAAATTTCTTCTTATTCATAACTTATTGAATTTAGGCCTAAAGTGTAAGATATGAGCAATGATACTACATAAAGACACCTAGCTAAAGCTGTTTGTGTCCTGGTATAATTATTGATCACATGCAATTTTATTTAGGAAGAGTACTCTGTGAAGAAATCAAATCTTAATGTGCAACTTTAGAATTTAATTATTTTTTTGTGACTTATTGTGTGTTAATACAAGACAAGATGTTGACAGTAACACCTTTGCCCATCTGAACATGTTGAGTGAGATTTACTGAACAGAGACTTACCTGATAACTATTTTTCCAGTTCCAATTGCTCCACAAATTTAGTTAGAATTGTAATGAGAACCTCCCACTGGTCTGGCAAACTCCAAACAAATGGTAAAATTTCTTTTTTTAATTTTTTTTTTCTTTCCTCCAGTTGTCATCACAAAAAGCTTAAGGCAGCTACAGCTGAGGAGCAGTCCTCAGGTTCCAGACCAAGTTGCGGTTTCTGCTCGTTTTTAGAGGTGCTATACCTTCAGAGTTCTCAATGTCAGTCACTTTTTCAGGCAATCCTGACTACTGTCATTGAGAGGCATTTGAGAGAATTAATTCTTAGAATTCAGGTCTTCGGTGATAAACTTTTTTTATTGACTATAGGCACTCTTTGGATCAATCTTGCTGTTAAATCTAGTGTCCTGGGTGTAACCTCACCTTGCTCAATTGGTCTCCAAGATTCTTTCAGAAGTGGACTTAGGAGATGACTCTCTCCTCCAGGACTGGATTCAGTGTTGCAACTCTTTCATAACATCTGCCATTTTGAGGACTTAGTGAAAAGACAAATGGACACTTCAGTGTCTTTTCTGTGCTGTTCTCTTTTTCTTGTTAGGTGCTTGAGATTTGAATTAAATAACTGGGATACAAAATAAACATTATGAGCTTCTGACTACAACTAAAACACAGACTATGGAAAAATTTAGCAAAGGTTATAAAAAGACACCAATTATTTGGTATGTTTCTACCTTCAGGCTTTTGGTGACTGTTTTTGTACTCCTTATGTCTTTGTGAAGAATGTACTCCAACCCAAATGATGGAAGTTGTTGCTTGGAAGAAATGTAAGGGTTAGATATCTAAAAGTTGCAATAAGAGTATCTCCTTATGGTTTTTCATTCTCCTTGTTAGCTAGCATGTTAAGGTTTCTGTATAGCAGAGTTACTATATTTAAGTATATTCTGATTTTATTTGTTAAATCCTTATATTAAAACCAGTTTGCATCATAAACTTAAGAATAGAATTTGAAGTGCTCTACACTTTGTTTCCCTTATTTCGCAAATTACATGGCTGATTTCAAAATATTTTGCCTACTGGTGATGTTAATGACCATAAGAAGATACAATTTAAAAAACAGAACCTCAATATTAAAAGGTGTATCTTTTTCCTTAGGAAATTAACTGTAAGCATGTTAAAATTGAAAGATTAACCTTGCTTTTTCAGCAGTTTCTTAATGCATTTTTTCAAATTGCAACCCAAAATTATGATCTTCACTGATATTTTAATCTTGCTAACATGTTTCAAGTCACTTACTTCTTTTATATAGTTTAGTGGTTTGTTTGTTTTGTCCATTGTAGCTGTTTGCTGTTTGAATGTACACTGCATGCTCTGTTCCTTGAACTAACATGAGGTGCAGCCTTGTGTCATAGTTTAGAAGAAAGCCACTAGACAGCCTATTGTTAAACACCTGGTGGGCTGAGGCAGGACAGGGAGGGTGGTTTTCAGTCACCACTTAGGGTCATGGGCAAGAAACCCATGCCTTGGGAAAAACAAACAAACAAAAAAAATCAATTGAATTTATTAACTATTTACAATCAAAACAAGAAACAAGATAATGAAAGAGAGAACTACATCTTAGAGAGGCACTTGTCCCCCACCCCTCCCTTCTTCCCAAGGCCCAAAGGCTTTGTTCTGTACCTTCTCCCCACCCCAGCAGTGGAGGGGTGCAGGGAATGGGGGGTACAGTCAGTCCGCCGCTCCTTCCTCCTCAGGGGAGGTCTCCTCACAGTCTTTCCCTGCTCCAGCTTGGGGTCCCTTCTCATGGGAGAGTCCTTCTCAAAAACTGCTCCAATGTGAGTCCTTCCCACACAGGGTTACAGTCTCCCAATGACTGCTCGGCTCCGGCGTGGGTTTTTTATCCAAAATTCCAGCATGGGGTCCTCCACAGCTGCATCTTCTCATGCGCTGCACCAAGGGACAAACCATGTGTCACCATGAATCTTCACCACGCTGCAGGGGAAATGCTGGGGGAGGGGGGCACCTCCTTCCTCTTGCTTCTCTTCACTGACTGGTGTGTCTGTGTAGTTGTTTCTCTCCTCTCTCCGCTGCAGGTTTTCATCGGCTCCCGAGGAAACAGACTCCCCG